GCACTTTGGGCTAGCTATCCACTTCACTATTCAGATACCTTTGAAATGGCAGACGCTGTGCAAAATCGGGACTATGGAAGAAGCGAATATTCATAATGGAGTTGCCCTTCGAGACATAAAGTATGGTGACGAGATTGTCATGTGTATTACCAAAGATCCTCTTACACTTGCACCGACGCCTGTGCTGGACTCCGATTCTATGATCCCCGGTGGTGAACAAGGTAAGCGCAAAAATGCAACCGACTTCATTTCCATCGTAGCAGAGGTCTGGAGGCTGCTAGGTCGCACTCGCAAAATTTGTTAAAGTAACGTTACTACTTTTAATATTATTCTTACGACTGAATTCAAAGTCAGTGCTCCTGTCTCTCCCTTTACTCGCTCTTGTTCAGACTGCCTCCGCCCCTCAGAGAAATTCTCTGAGGAACGGAGGACGCCTGAAGTAGCAGTCCATGTTTTAACAAAAATGACCTTCTGGGAAAGCGATGGGCGACTCTATATTCCAAGTATCTTGTTGATTATCAAAAAAAAAAAAAATTCCTTTAACATTTTGTTCTTCCTGAAATGTGAAAAAGTTTTCAAAAATCACCTCATAAAAGTTGTACCTACACTAGGAATTTCAGAACGGGCAAACAGCACTGTTAATTTGGTAGAGAAATCAGCTTTGGTTGCATGTTTAACCTAGTGGTCCGAAGGTTGTTCAAGCCTAAGTTGCTGTTCAGATCAAATGAAGCTGGTGAGATTAGAAGCGAAGGGCGAGGAGTGAGAGCTGGTATGGGATGGTGTTTAAGGGTGTCAGTGAGCAGCCTGGGTAAACGCGGTTCACTCGCTCTCAAGTAGCTATTCAGGCACACTTCAAGTGCCAATATCAAGCAAATTTTACACCGTTACCATCAGTGTGGATCACAAAAGGAAGGCGATCCACATGACTAGTGTTGACTGCCACAGCAGGCAGACCCTCCAGACTGCTCCGAAAACACTTATTCCACTTAGGCTCGCGGTGGCTCTAAATTTGAGCAGAAGTGCTAAAGCAGTAAATTTACTGGGAACTGGTCAA